AAAAAAGAAGGGGGGAAAAAAGAAGGGGGAAAAAAAGGGGGGAAATAAAAGGAGAAGAAAAAAAGGGAGAAGAAAGGAGAAGAAAAAAAGGAGAGAAAAAAAAGGAAAAAAAAAGGATAAGAAAAAGAAGAAGAAGGGGAAAAAAAAGAAGGGTGAAAAGAAAGGTGAAGAAAAAAAAAAAGAGAGGAGGAAGAAAGAAAGAGGCGTGGAGAGCAGTGGGTGGCAGAGGTGCTGGGTCTGGCAGCACAGGTGGCAAGCTCACGGGCACACGTGTCCCCGCTGAGCCCATGAGGTGGCACAGCCCTGGCTGCAGGGGACAAAGTCCCCCATAAAAGTCAGGTGACACGGGTGACATGGCTGCTGCCCCAGCCCAGCCAGAGGCCCCACAGGACACCCCCTGGGATAACATGGTCTCCACCCCAGCCGAGGGTGAGGGTGTCCCCACAAAAGCCCCATGAGCTACTACAGCCCTTACCGTGGCTGGACACAAGGGTGTCCTCATAAACCCCAGGAGATGACAAAATCTTCACACCCCAACGAGGCCACGCTCACCGAAACCCTACAGAAATCCCACCCCACCTTGGGACGTCCCTTCCAACCTCTAAAACAAGCCAGAAAAGGAGAAAAGTAACCCAGAAATCATGTGTGGAGCCAAGCATTACCCTTCTCCTCTCCCGGGACAGCCATGAACCAGCCACAGGGAGCCCCTGGGGGGGAAAGGCAGCTAGTTTAGGGTAAAAAAACCAGAATTTAGGGTAAAGATGGGAGGATAATGCTGCCAAAGCTGGGGTCTACAGCCCTCTGGATGTGCAGAGCATCCAAGGGGTTGTTGGCCCCAACATCAAGCATAGCAACTCTGGTTTCTCCCTGTGTTGCTTTGTCTCAGCCAATAGGCCTCAAATTACTACTTCGTCACCAAAAAAATCATCCCTCCTGACCTCTTGTTGGATGAAGGTGGAAGAGGGAACCCCCGAAACCTTTGCCATGTCTCTCTGCAAGCATCCCAGTGGGGCTGGAGGCACCTCTGAAGGTCCAGCTGGTCCAGCCCCCCTGATGATGACACCTTCACGGACAGAGACTCCACTGGCTCTCTGGGCAACCTTGTGCCAGTGCTTGGTCACCTTCACAGTGACAAAGGATTTCCTGATGTTCAGAAGAACCTCTTGAGTTTCAGTTTGTGTTCCTCAAGTCCTGGCACTGGACACCTCTGAGAAGAACGTGGCTCCATCTTCATACCCTCCCTTCAGGTACTGACACCCACTGACTAGATCCTGCTGGACCTTGTCCTCTCCAGTCCCAGCTCTCAGGGCCTATCCACCTGGGAGAGGTGCTCCAGTCCCTGCCTCATCTTGGTGGCCCCTCACTGGACGCGCTCCAGCCTGTCCACCTCTCTCTCACGCTGGGGAGCCCCTTGCTGGACACAGCACTCCATGAGTAGCCTCACCAGTGCTGGGGTGCAAGATCACCTCCCTCAACCTCCCCCCATACTCCTCCTGCAGCACCATCAGCCCTCTTTGCCCCGTTGGTGGTTCATGGTCAAGCTGGTGTCCAATGGGACCTCCAGCCTGGTGGAAACGTTTCCAGCGTGTTGTTTTCTGAGGCTGCTCCTCCCCCAGGGCAGAACTTTGCACTCCCCCTGGTTGGACAAAAGGGACTCGGAGATGGCTCCCAACATCAGCAGGATGGAGCTGCCTTGACCCAAACCTGCTGCCAGGCACCAGGAGCAGCAAAGGCTGAGGAGGAGCAAGGCAAGAGCCATGGTGCCCAGCAGCTGTGGTGCCTGGAGCAGACCAGGCGCCGTGCCCTCTGCTCCACTGCCCAGCCAGCACAGGATGAGGAGCCACCTCCAGCCCCACGCAGCTCAGATGAGCAGATGCCATCGTGCCACCACGGCCAGGAGGGGACAGACAACACGTGCCACCAGGGAAGCATCACCTTCTTTAATTAAAAATAAAGATAGGAGAGAAGCTGCTGCTGGGGGAGGTGAGGCTGGGCGGAAGATGGGCTCCACCCAAGCCCCCTTCTTTGTGCCAGGCCTCCAAACCATGCCACAATGCCCCGAGGAGCTCCTGCTCGGCCACGGGGCCCCAGCTCCTCCTCCCAGGGCTGTGCAAACTCTAAAGGAACAAGCCTGGAGGGACCTGCAAGAGCTCAGAGCTCCCCTTGGCCTCCTCTTCCTCACTCCTGAGGAGGTGGCACCAGCATGAAGAGGACAGACCTCGTGACACCAGCCCTGGGCCAGGCCAGGCAGCGGCACCGGGAGCAGTAAATACAGGAGGGGTATTTACAGGTGGGAAATGGTGTCATTCAGCATCTCTGTCCAAGAGCAAAGCCGAGGGGTTTTCACCCCAACGGGAGGGTGTCCTTGGGGCATGGCCATCCAGCCAGCCCCCTGGGGTGCCCCCAGGGCCCGTCACACTCGTCGTGCCTTCTTGCTTTTCTTCTTCTCCTCCTTGAGGGCAGCGTCATGGGCTTTCCTCTTCGCAGCCAGTTTGTTTGCCTGCGGAGAAACCCCCCCAAGATCCACAGTCAGACCAGCCTGGAGACCCCCAGGGCTGACCCACCCTCAGCCTCACCAAACCCTCCACGGGTAGGTGGCAGAGATGGACCCATCTGCTGCTGGCACCCGCGTCAGGCGTAGTGCACAGAGAAGGGTGGCAGGAGCCACGGCCTCCAGGGAGCACGAGGAGCTCGGCCCTGCCCGGGTCAAGAGCCTGGTGGCACTGGGGAAGAGGCTTGTGGAGCTTCACCCTTGCCCTCCTTCCCTCCACACCCTCACCCAGCACAGGGCCCAGAGCTGGCACAGGATCAGAAGCAGAAGCTGCTCCCTCTGCCCCGAGGTGGGGCCAGGGCCAGCTGGTGGCTGTGAGCCCCTTTGGGGAGGGCTGTGCCAGGCCAAGGCCCCCGGCCCTGCCGCAGCCCCGCGCTCGCACCTCGCGGATTTTGCGCTTCTTGCCGAACATGATCTTCTTGTAGAGGTACTTCTCCCTTTTCTTCATCATCATGATGGCCAAGCGCTTCTCCTCGCTCTGCTGCTCCTGCTCCAGGCGCTGCCTGTCCTCCAGCCGCAGCTTGCCAGCAGTCACCTTCACGGGCAACGCCTGTGGGGGACAGAGAGCTCAGGAACCCAACACCCGCCCCACCAGCATCCTGGCTTGGGTCAGCACTAGCGTGGCCAGCAGGGCTAGGGCAGGGAACATCCCCCTGGGCTCGGCACTGGGGAGGCTGCACCTTGAATCCTGGGCTCAGTTTTGGGCCCCTCAATCCAAGGATCTTCAGGGGCTGGAGTGTGGCCAGAGAAGGGCAACGAAGCTGCTGGGGAAGGGTCTAGAGCCCAAGCGTGGGGAGGAGCAGCTGAGGGAGCTGGGGGTGCTGAGCCTGGAGCAAAGGAGGCTCAGGGGAGACCACCTGGCTCTGACACCTCCTGACAGGAGCCTGGAGCCAGGTGGGGGTCGGGCTCTGCTCCCAAGGAACAAGTGAATAGGAGAAGAGGAAAGGGCCTCAAGTTGCCCCAGGGGAGGTTGAGGTTGAAGCTGAGGAACAATTGCTTCCCCTTGAGGGTTGCCCAGGGCTGTGCCAGGCTGCCCAGGGCAGTGGTGGAGTCCCCACCCCTGGAAGGGTTCCCAAGCCATGGAGATGTAGTGCTGAAGGACACAGGTTAGCAATAGACTTGGCAGAGTTAGGTTAATGGTTGGACTTGATGCTCTGAAAGGTCTTTTCCAACCAGAACAATTCCGTGATTCCAGGACTCCCCAGGCACAGAGACATTTCCACACCACTCCCTGGGGCCGTGGAAGAGCTGCAGCAGGCTCAGACCAGGCAGCAAGTCCTGACTATGAACTGGAGTTGCAGCCCAGGAACAGGAGCCCAGGCCCCAGAGGTGTGGAAGCTCAGCAGAGCTGCCTCCTCCCAGGCCTCCCGCCTCATACCTGGTTGCTCTGAGTCTTCTGCTCTTCCAGCTTCTTTAATTTCATCTCCTCTTCCTTTTCAGACTCATCTTCCTCCTCCTCCTCCTCTTCCTTATCATTGTCATCCTCCTCTTCCTCTTCTTCCTCCTCCTCCTCACTCTCTTCACCTACGGGGAGACCGCCGTTAGCCGTGGGACCCCGGGGTGGGCACAGCCCCTCTCTCCTCCTCTCCTCCAGCCTCAGAGCCTCGCAGCACCACCTGGGTTCTCTCCCCTCTGCATGGCCAGCAGCTTCAGCTTCTCGGGGGGCACGTAGTCTCCCTCCTGCTCCGTCACGAAGGGCGAGAGGTGGGGGGGCAGCAGCACGCCGGGGAAGTAGTCGGCCACTGGCAGACAGAGCTTGGCATTGACCGAGTCGAAGACCCACTGAGGCTGCAGGTAGCACCTGTGGGGCAGAGGGACAGGGGCTGGGGCTCCTTCCCCCCACACGTCAGGCCCCGGAGAGCACGGGGCTGGGAAGGAGCAGAGCGTGGGACAGCTCTGGGACATCCAGCGGCCGTGGTGGGGACGAGTGTCACTGACTCACCTGCCAACAACCTGGCGCTCCACCCGGGGCCTGTCCACGAGGGGTCGCTCGCCTCGTAGGTGGCACCGATGCACAGGGACTTGTCCCAGGAGACCTGCCCACCGAAGCACCTGGCAGCAAAACCCAGCGAGGGGTCAGCAGGCAAGGAGGGGCCTCGGGGGTCTCCTTGCCCACGGGACGCCGGGCTGGTGGGTCTCCACAGCCCTGAGGGAGGCTGGGGCGGGGGCGCCGCCCGCCACGCACCGGATGATGAAGGCCAGAGGCTCTCGAGGCACCTCCCTGCTGAGGAAGAAGCGCAGCCCTTCAAACAGCTTCTTGTGCTTCTCCAGGGCCTCCTGCTCCTTCTTCCTGGCGTCCATCTGCTCCGCGGTCTCCTGCCCAGAGCAGAGCATTCAGCCTCCCTGCCAGACACTGAGCACCCACGAGCAGGGCCGAGCCCTCCCCAGGCTCTTACCCCCTCCACTGGGAACTCGTCCATCTCCACCTCGTCCTCGTGGGCTGGTGCCACCACACGTGCCAGGCTGGCACTGAGAGCAGACAGCTTCTGCAGCGGGAGGAGACCGAGAAGGTGTCACAGGCCTGGCTGGAGCTTTGGGGATGGGAAAAGGGGCAGCCTCACCAAGTGAGGAGATCTCCCAGAGCAACCGGTCAAAAGACCAAGAGAACCATAGAATCTCCCTGGCTGGAAGAGATCTTTAAGACCATCCAGTCCAACCATCCCCCAGCACTGCTAGGTCCCCACTGCCCCGTGTCCCTCAGCACCACATCTCCACGGCTTGGAAACCCCTCCAGGGGTGGGGACTTCCTGGCACAGCCCTGGGCAATCCTCAAGGGCAAGAAATTGTTCCTCAGGGCCAACCTCAACCTCCCCTGGGGCAACTTGAGGCCATTTCCTCTTCTCCTATTCACTTATTCCCTGGGAGAAGAGCCCGACCCCCCCTGGCTCCAGGCTCCTGTGCAGAGCCAGAAGGTCTCCCCTGAGCTACTTTTGCTCCAGGCTCAACAAGCCCAGGTCCCTCAGCTGCTCCTCACAAAAGTTGTGACTCCTCCTTGGTGTACTGTCCCACCCAGCAATCCCCAGCACAAGGATTTGGAGAGGCCCCCAGCACGCAGGGCAAGGGCAGCAGCCCCCAGGGTCAACCAGAGCTTTCACTTGGCCAGCATGAGGGTACAAGGAGTTTGGGACCAGCCCCTGCCACCACACAGGGATCTGGCTCTGGTCCTCAGTCCCTGCACACTGACTGCTCCATGCCAGGAGGAGGTCAT